CTGCTGCTCAAGCTAACGTACAACTACGTGTAAACGGAGGTGGGGTGTGTGCCCTTGCCTTTCCCATTCCCTTTCCCACTGCCTCTCTAACGCTAACTTCCTAAGTGCAGTGCAACTTTTTGACACTTGGAATTGAGTTTTGCGGTGTAATTGCATTTTATTTGTCACCTTTAGACACCTTCCCAGCGAAGCACCGAAGCAGCCAAACAGCCAAACGAAAGTCGCAATCCAATCTGAAATCCATGGCCATTGTGGCAGGCATCCATGAGGAATCGCAGCAGATAGAGGCGTCCCGTTGGTGGCATCAAATTTGCATGGCGTCGCGAAGGCTGCGCTGCAGATAATCGCAGTCCTTGGCTGCCCCCCCCCCACCCCCCTCCGCAAGCGGCAAATTGAATCATTTCTGCAAATGGAAACTGCTCATAAAATGAACTTTCACAGGGGGCTTGGATGGATTGGGGGTGTGGGTGGGGGCCAGAAATTAATTGCAATTTTTTTTTCGAATGGGGCAAAAACGTCGAAGAAATCAAATTATTTTCCATTGCAGTGCTGCAGTAATCGAAACTGAGATGTGAAAAAGGGCAGCTGGAAAAACAACATTCTCATTCAGCGGCAGCGGCAGCGGCACTCACACTTTGAGGCATTATTCAGGGAGCCAGCCAGCCATCCCTTTCAGTGCTGTGCCGAGTGCCTTGGCGATTGCCCAAAAGCGAGCAAATGGACACCGGAGACAGCCAGCCAGCCAGCCAGCCCAATGCAGCCATAATTAAGAGTGTCCTTGCTGTCAGCACGGGCATTGTTCTGGCCGGGCTGCAGTCTCCTCTCTGCTTCGCTCTGCTCCGTTTGAGAAATGCGAATCGACAGCTGTCCTCCGCTCCCCACCCCTTGCTGTCCTGGCTGTTCTCTCTGTCCATCCTTTGGCTGCGCTCCGGCAATCGGCAGGATAAATGAATTTTTCATTAAAAACAGTTGCAAATTATTTAGTTTCGTGTTGGGCATTAATTTGCATAATTTAAACTTCAACTGTTCCCAGCAAATTTTTCAATTTTCCACAGCTTGTTGCGTGCTTTCCATCCACCCCCCCTCGCAGCCCGCAGCGTCTCTGATGATTTTCATGAATGAATTTTTTGGCGCGCTTTTCCCAGCGCCGACGCAATGGCATTGGAGAGAGAGAGAGAGCGAGCGAGCCGGTTGAAGCCGGTTGAACATTGAACATTGAACGAGGCATCCAGCATCCACTGGCAGCATCCTTCAATCACGGCTTTATCAGTCATAAGCGAAGCCCCCGACACGACGTACAACAGTTGCGGTTTGAAGCTCGTCGCGTGCGTGTCTTGGGGATAAATCCGTAGCGGTAGAAAGCCAGCGGCAAAGGCAACGCCATTCGGAGTCACGTCTCGTCTTGCTGCACAGCTTTCCTTCGTCGCGTCTTCGTCTGCGTCGCGTCTTCGTCTTCGTTTCGTCTCTGGCTCGAAGTAAATAAAACAAATAGAATTATCCCCGGCCTCAAATGTGTATGGAGACGCATTTCAAATGCCAATAAATTGTCATTTAAGAGTGTCAGTTTGTGTGTGTGTCAGTGTGTGTGTGTGTCAGTGTGTGTGTGTGTGTGGCATGTGCCATGTGGCGTATACGCAATATTTATGAATGCAATTTCCTACTAAAGAGCTGCCTGGGATCTATGGGATGCTCCACTGAGCCGAGAAACTGAGATTATAAGTACGTGTATTTGTTGCATGTTGCAGCTGCCACCAGCTAAGTGTGCTGCTGCTGTTGCTGCTGCTGCCATTGTCTGTGGCAATCTCTGTGGAAATCCTGCACTAAAAAATCCCCACACCCCATTTATCCCGTATTGTCTGGATGCTGCTAGTGGCAGTGGGGCAAGCACTCATGCAGATCTAGATCTCTTTGCTGTTACGCTGCTGATCATTGATTGGAGAGCGAGAAAATCCCCGCTTACCGATTACCTCCAATGGGAATTATGAGAGCTTTCAGCATGGATCAAATGCAACTGCAACTGCAACTGCCATCCCTTTAGCTATTTTCTTGCCACATTTCACTCTGTCCCCCCCCTCCCGCCCCGTGGCGCTGTTTGCAGTCACAGCGTACAAAATGGAATCAGAATTACAAATGCAGCCAGCATTTTGCATAATTTATGTCAAGCATGAAAATAACAACTAAGGGGGCCGATGGCCACATACGGGAGAGCGAGAGAGGTAGGGAGCCAAAGGGGAGCAGGCTAGGAATGGCTGGGCTGGCAGGTGTGCGTTGTGTGTGTGTGTGGGGGTGTACTAGGCGGGGGAGGAGTGCACACATGGCCATAAATAAGTGCAGGTTTAAATACCACGGCAACAATTGTGAAATATGGCAGAATAATAGAAAGGACCAAAAGCAGAGCAGAACAGAGCAGCGCAGAGCAGAGCAGCAGCTAAATATTCATAAATGCACTGCAGCAAAAATACTCGAACAACAGAAAACAAAAAGGTTTTAGGAGCCTGAATTTAGCAGCTTGGGAATTCCAAAGATTGAAGTTTTCATTTAATGGAAATTCAAAAGACTTTATTCTGTATTTAAGCGCTGCTTTTGAGCTGCAATTTTGTAGCAAAATTATATTTTAACAACTGAATAAAACCCTTTGCGCTCATCTGAATCTTTTTCACAAAGTTTTGAGTGAGATATTCAGTGAAAAAGACAGCTGAAAAATAGCTTAAAATGTTCTGTATTTAGAACCAAATTCCTTAATCAAGAGCAACAATTTCTTGTTCGAAAAGTGGTGCCCCACTGCATGTTAGCGTGGCAATGTCTTTCGCTTTCCAACATCCCATTGGTACTTTGGATATAAATGTCAAAAGTGTATGGATGGAGGAGGAGGATGAAGAGTGGAAACAGTGGAAACAGTGGCACTAATATTAAAAGAGAATAGTAATAGTTTGAATGTGAAAACAATTTTATATTCATTTGTAATTTAATTTTGGAATATTTTTGAAATTTTTGGAGCAGCTGCACCCAACCACTGAGTTTGCTGTAGTACTGGGACTTAAGCGACTTGGACTTTGGCTGGGCAGTCGCAGATTTTTTGGTTGTCCGGCGGAGTCCTGGTGCCATGGAACTCTTTATGTGCGGGCTGACTAACTTGCTATTTGATTGCACTGCCAAAAATGTCTTAATTTGCATTTCATTTGAATCAAACTTTAGGTTTCATGTCTGAAATATTGGAACTAAATGAAAACCCTGGAGTTGAAGGATTCTTTTCTATAGTTTAAATGGAAAGAAAGTGGAGAATATATGCGGGATTTATGTTGTTTAATTGCACGCCTGTGAAGGGTACTCTGTTGAGATAGTTTATGAGAAATGTGCTCCCCATTTAAATACATTTAAAAACATTTAAATACACATTAAATTTTTATAAAAAAAAAAAAAAAAAAATTCTTAAACCCAAATAATAAATAATAGATATAAATAATAATGAAATATAATTAAATGTTATCCATAAATATTTCTCATAGTTTAAACATCGCTAAAGCAGAGAAATATATTCGGGACTTATTTTAGTATTTTATTTTTAAATAATTTCCATTAGGCGATTAAATTGTTGATCTGGGAACACTTTGGCTCAGTGCAGTGCCCAGCCATAGAAATGCTCGCAGTGGGTGCTCGCATACATATGAAATGTTAGTTACACGAGGCTGACAGGGGCTAGGGGGGCAGAGGGCAAATGTCAACTGTGGATGGGGGGTGCAGGTGCAGGTGCAGGTGCAGCAGGGGTTAGGCAGCGTAAAAGGCGACGAGTGGTGGGGGGGGGGCATTGAGTGATGAAGCCTGCTGAAAGCAGAGGGCAATGGCAGCCTTCCCTTGAAGGAGCATCCCCCCCCGGCGGGCAAGCCACTGCCGCTGCTGTTGCTGCTGCTGCCTATGTTGCCACTGCTACTGTTTGCCACTGCCTCTGCCACTGCCACTGTTCTCTCGCTGCGAAGAACAAAACCCAGTGCAGAACAAAATGGGCCAAAAAGTTATTTTAAGCGCTTGCTCGCTGGGCGCAAAGCGCGCGACAAGAATACAAGAAAAGAGAACGAAAGAAAAGCGCGAGAGGGAGGGAAAAGCGTTCCTAAAGTGGTAATGGAGGGCGGACAGAATGGACTGTCTAGTAGGGGGGTGGGGGTGTGGGTGGGGGTGGGGTGCTGTGCAGTGGTGGGTAATCTCGAAACAATTATGCATACGCGCATGCAGAAAAGAAAATCTGTGGCGCGTGATTCTCGTAGAAAAACGGGCGAAAAAGTAGCCCAAAAGCCTCGACATGAAAGCGCCAAATGTTTGGCCATTAGCATAAAAAATAATGGCCAAAATAGAGGGCAACAGCAACAAAGGCATGGCAGGGAGAGAGCGGGAGAGAGAGCAAGGAAGGGACAGTGAACATGGGAGAGAGCAGCAAGTAGCTGAGAGCAGCATCGAAGACTTCAGCTTAATCCTTTTCAACTGGCAAATTGGCGTGCAAATGCCTCAAGGGTTCTCCGCTGCTTTTGCCCCATTTCCTCGGAGCATCTCCATTGCCTGCTCCACCCCCTCTCTCTCTCTCTCTCTCTCTGTGCATGCATATTTTTATGAGCACCAATACTTTTCAGAGTCAGTGTGTGCTGTGTGTGGTGTGTGCTGTGTGTTTTCCCCAGAGAGAAAGCACTGATAATGGCAGGCGGGGAGCAAACGAAATGAGACCAAAAGTGAGGCCAATAAAAAGGCGATAAAATTGACGCCAATACAAGAGGAGAAGCAGGAGGAGAAGTAAGAAGAGCAGGAGAGGAGCAGGAGCAGGAGAAGGAGAAGCAAGAGGAGCAGGAGAAGGAGAAGCAAGAGAAGGACACCGAAGAGGAGCAGCAGCAGCAGCAGCTGCAGGAGAGCGAGCGAGAGGAGAACGATAAGCGTTTCCTGTCGGCACACAGTGCATAAAAAGGCGATATATATTCCCGCAAATTCCCGCAGCCAGGAGTCACCCCCCCCCCTGTGTGTGTGTTTATAGCAGTTGCAGCCGCCGCCGCCACCTACCGATAGAATAGCCAAAGCGACAACGATTCCCAATGCCTTGGTGATTAATGGGCCCAGGGCACATGGCCGACGGGATGCGCATAACTCACTTGCCCCAAACGAGATACTGCCGATGGCTGGCCCTGGCATTGGCCCTAGTGCTGGGCCTCGCCTCAGCCATGGAGTCGTCGGCGGAGCTGCAGGCACTGGGCCTGGACCATCAGCATCAGCAGCAGCAGCAACAGCAGCAACAGCAGCAGAGTGTGGCAATTAAGCCGTCGCCAGGTGGCAATGCCTTAATTAGTGGCAGCAGCCTACAGCAGCGCTCCTCTGCCGAAAGGGAAACCATACAAATGGGCGGCGGAGGTGGCGCACAGATGGAGCAAGAGGAGCTGCCCGTGTGGGGGCCGCAGCATCGCGCCAATTGGAAGTACAAGCGGACGAAAGTCAAGCGGCGGCAGCGCCTCAATTCGCAGAGCAATCTGCCGAGCATCACGAACTCCTCCGCTCAGCCGTACACGCCGCCAGCCACGCAGCAGCAGCGCTACCTGAAGGTCAACCAGGTGTTCGAGAGCGAGCGTCGCATGTCCCAGGCGGAGATCCAGCACAATCACGGCAAAATTGTGCTGCTCGGGCTGTTCGAGCTGTCCACGAAGCGCGGCCCGCGTCCGGATGGCATCTCGGAGCTGGGTGCCGCCACCATGGCCGTGGAGCACATCAACCGCAAGCAGCTGCTGCCCGGCTACACCCTCGAGCTGGTGACCAACGATACGCAGGTGAGTGGGGAGGGTCGGGAAGGGGTACCAGGCAAGGCAAGTGGGTGTGGAAGTGGAAGTGGAAGTGTGAGCGGATTGCGGGTTGCGGGTTCTTCTGCTTCCATTACGAAATTGAATTTTCATTTAGTGGCGCGTGCAACATTAAAACTTAATAAGAAAATCTGCAGCAGCAGCAGCAGCAGGCCAGAAAGAGGGAGAGAGAGAGAGAGAGTGGTGGAGTGGAGAGGGGCAGCTGCTGGAAATATGTCATCAACGTTTCATCGTCTGCCGTTCTCCATCTTTGGCTCTCTTTTATTGCCATTTTTTTCATCATCTTCCTCTCTCTCTCTGTCTCTCTCTCTCTCTCTGGTTTGATGGGGCACGCAAATGTACAACACGCAGCCAGAGCCAAGAGCACTCGCAACGCGCGACTCGCGACTCGTATCGTATCTGGCGACTCGTATCTCTCTGTGTCTCTATCAAAGTCGACATTTTAAAAATGTTTATTGCGCGTTTTTATGATGGCGAAACGAGTCACTGACAGTCACTGAACAGGGCGGGGCGGGGGCAGGACAGACTCGCACTCTGCAAATCCTTAATGTCTCTCTCTCTCTCTCTCTCTCTGTGTGCAACTTTTTGGCTTGCAGTGCGATCCCGGCGTGGGTGTGGATCGCTTCTTCCATGCCATCTACACGCAGCCATCGACGCGCATGGTGATGCTGCTGGGCTCCGCCTGCTCAGAGGTCACCGAGAGCCTCGCCAAGGTGGTGCCCTATTGGAACATTGTGCAGGTGAGTGTCGTGCGAGTATTGTTGTGGCCTGATTAAAATGCAAATGTGCAGCTCATTCATTCAATCATCATCATCATCATTCCATCATTCCATGCCGAGCAATTGCTCCGCAACCTAATCAACTCACGTGCTTGGCTTTCGATTAGCATAAATGCCAGAGCACAGGACTGCTGGATCTACGTGGCATGCCGCACCCCATAAACCACACACACACACACACACACACAGCCATAAACATTTCCACGCATCACAAATTATGAGGCTCACAAATTCACTTACGCCGACTCCTCCTGCAGACTGCCTCCTCCTGACTGCCTTCTCCTGACTGCCTTCTCCTGCAGCCTCATCCTCCTGGTTCCTCCTGACTGCCTCCTGCCTTCTCCTGCCTACTCCTGCCTTCTCCTGCCTTCTCCTGCCTCCTGCCTACTCCTCCTTCTGCCTCCCTTCCATCACGACATTTGCATTTAACCTTTGAAGTTTCATTTGGCCATTTCACCAAATATGTTAAATGAGCGGCGAAACTTTGTAGACCAAGCCACACACACATACATAATGAAAAGAGAAAGTAAAAAAAAAAAAAAAATACCAGCACACACATGTAGCACATGTAGCATGTAGCATGTAGCATATGTAGCATATGTGGATTTCCTTGAGGCATGTCTTGCATTTTAAGCGGCACCCACACACACACACACACACACACACACACACACACACACGCAGCAGCAACTGGAACTAACGATTGCTACTCCAAATTAAAGGTCTCCTTTGGCTCCACCTCACCGGCGCTGAGCGACAGGCGTGAGTTTCCCTACTTCTATCGCACCGTGGCGCCCGACTCCTCCCACAATCCGGCGCGCATCGCCTTCATACGCCGCTTTGGCTGGGGCACGGTGACGACCTTCTCGCAGAACGAGGAGGTGCACTCGCTGGCGGTGAACAATCTGGTGACGGAGCTGGAGGCGGCCAACATTAGCTGTGCGGCCACCATCACATTTGCGGCCACGGACTTCAAGGAGCAGCTCCTGCTGCTGAGGGTGAGCCACCAAGGGTGCAGGGGGGACAGGGGGGACAGGGGGGTTTTCGATTTCGGTTTCGAATGACAAATGGTCTTTTTGGCACCCGCAGGAGACGGACACGCGCATCATTATCGGCAGCTTCTCGCAGGAGCTGGCACCGCAGATCCTCTGCGAGGCCTACCGGCTGCGCATGTTCGGGGCGGACTATGCCTGGATACTGCACGAGAGCATGGGCGCGCCATGGTGGCCGGACCAGCGCACAGACTGCACCAACCACGAGCTCCAGCTGGCCGTGGAGAATCTCATTGTGGTCTCCACACACAACAGCATTGTGGGCAATAATGTCAGCTATAGCGGATTGGTAAGCCAGAGAAGGAGAAGGTCCCTTCCATTCCCTTCCCTTCACTTCCTTTCCTTCCTTTCCTCTTTGCCTTGAAATGATTTATTTGATTAGACAATGCCCAGCCATTGAGCATGTCCTGTCCCTGGCGTTTGTGATTGTGATTGCAGAGTCCGGCTGCCTCTGGCGCGTTTTTATGACCATTTTAGTGCCTCGTTCAGCGCACAAAACGGCAGCCCAGGACTAGGCAATCCTCATTACAAGCGCCCTATTCCAGCAGCATTCTGTGGCCTGTTTAATCGCCAAACCATTGCCACCATTTCCATTCGATTCCACTTGGCAGAACAATCACATGTTCAACTCGCAGCTGCGCAAACAATTTGAACAGTTTCATGGCCATGTGGATGCCGCAGCCACCGCCACAGTCACAGCCACAGCCAGTGGCAACAACCGCAAGCGTGCCGCACCGCAAGCGGATTTGGATTTGGATTTGAATCTGGATTTGGATACGCTGTCGAGCAGGCGGCGCAGGCGTGCCACGGGGAGTCACAGTCACAGCCACAGCCACCTCTTCCCGGAGGCCATCTCACAGTACGCGCCGCAGACTTACGATGCCGTGTGGGCCATTGCCCTGGCACTGCGCGCCTCCGAGGAGCATTGGCGCCGCAACGAGGCGCAGTCGAAGCTGGACGGATTCGATTATACGCGCAGCGACATGGCCTGGGAGTTCCTGCAGCAAATGGGCAAGCTGCACTTCCTGGGCGTATCGGTGAGTGGAGAGTGGAGAGAGAGACTGGCGTTGGACGCCCCTTTTGATTGGTTTCTTGGGCGGCAGGGTCCCGTCTCGTTTAGCGGTCCGGATCGCGTGGGCACCACCGCCTTCTACCAGATCCAGCGCGGCATGCTGGAGCCCATTGCGCTGTACTATCCCGCCAGCGATGCGCTGGACTTTCGCTGCCCCCGCTGCCGACCGGTCAAGTGGCACAGCGGCCAGGTGCCCATCGCCAAGCGGGTGTTCAAGCTGCGCGTGGCAACCATCGCGCCGCTCGCCTTCTACACCATCGCCACACTGTCCAGCGTGGGCATTGCCCTGGCCATTGCCTTTCTCGCCTTCAATCTGCACTTTCGGAAGCTCAAGTAAGTTCAGTTCAGTCCCGGAGAGTGCCGTGCCGCAGGGGCAGCCACTGCTGCTGTGGCTGCTCTTCTTCTCGTTGCTTACTCTGCACTTTTGCACTCCTCCACAGGGCAATTAAACTTTCCAGCCCGAAGCTGAGCAACATCACCGCAGTGGGCTGCATCTTCGTGTATGCCACCGTCATCCTGCTGGGCCTGGACCACTCCACGCTGCCGTCGGCGGCAGACTCCTTTGCCACAGTCTGCACGGTGAGTCCTTCCATTCCACTCTCCTTCTCCTTCTCCTTTGCCATTCTTTTGTTTGACTTTCGAGGATTCTCGTGGGTTGGGTGCCGTCCGCTCCCACTCCCGCTCCATTTCGCCTCTCGTCTCTCATCAAATATGACTTTCAGTTTTCTGGCTGCCAACAACTTTCGTGGGTCGCGTTCTCTCTCATGTGTTTGCTTTATTTATGTGTGGATTGAGCGGATGAGGAGCCGCAGCATGAGCCGGAGCATGAGCCTTCCCTGGCTATAAATAGCTGACGGGCTTCAGCTCCGCTCGAGCAGCGCTCTTAAAGCTAGGCAGCTGTCAGCCATTCAGCCATTCAGCCTTACAGAATTTTGAGATTTCCAAATGCTGCTTCCTGTCCTGTTCTGTTCTGTCCATTGCCGTTTGCTCTTTAGCTTCAGCTTCAACTTCAGTTTGTAGCTTCAGCTTCAGTTTGTTGCTTCAGCTTCAGTTTTTAGCTTCAGCTTCAGTTGCTTTAAACGCCACTCCAGGGAAATTTGCTGTTGCTCTCTTCCTCTGCCTTGTTAGGCTCTTGCAGCAGAGGGTATTATGATTTTGCCTAGCTGCATGCTCCACTTAAAGTGGGTATTTTTGTACCCAAATGTAGCATGTACCTAGGGTTAGGTTAGCTACATGCAAAGCTAGAATTTCAAAGCAAATTAAACACACAACTTTTCTATTTAATTCTGTGCCGATATTATTTTCTAAATTTATTCAAACTGATGTGAATCCAATGAAATCTATTAAGCAATAGAGGCCATAGAGCACAAATTCTTACACATTCTCTGTTGTATATGCAACTAAAAACGAGAAGGAACGTGCGAGTCGCTTCTAAAGACGCGACTCTACTTATACCCGTACTCAGTCACTATATAAATTTTTGAGCATATGAGCAAAAATTAAAACAAATAAATAATTATTATTAATAGCTCCCTTGCGAAAGTGCTTGGCAATAAAAAATAAAAAACAGACATAAATAATTATTATTTATAATTTTAATTTTGTGCTAAAATTGAACCCTTTTTTATGCACAACACTCTCAGATCTGTCGCATTGTAATATTACTTCTCCGTATCCTCCAAATCGACGTTTAAATCGTGGGGCGCGTAAACCATTTTTTGTTCCCCCCTACAAAAAGGCCCCATAAAAAAGGGCATCTAATCCCTCGGCTTTCGCAGCTATTCCTGCAACTGGCTCTTGTTTTTTTTTTCCTGTTTCTGCTTCTGTTATTGTTAAGGCTCTCTCGTGTCGGTCGGGCACGAAGCGGCACAGAGCTGGAGCCTGCCTCGCACCCGCCTCTCCGGAGAACAAGTGCAAACACATGACAGGGGAAATTTACAACTTTTGTGATATGCCATGTGATATTTGCATAAATTTGCCACCCCTGCCTGCCACCCCTGACTGCCACACGACGCTGCCCCATTGATGAGCTGTTGTCCTATTCCTTTCTCTTGTTTCTTGTTTCGATTTGGTGCTGTTTTTCTTTGTTCCTTTGGGCCCCAAAATACATGACACCTACACATCCTCATTGACTTCCTTCCTACCCCCCGACAGGCACGCGTCTATCTGCTGTCGGCTGGCTTCTCGCTGGCCTTTGGCTCGATGTTCGCCAAGACATACCGCGTGCACCGCATCTTCACACGCACCGGCAGCGTGTTCAAGGACAAAATGCTGCAGGACATCCAGCTGATTCTGCTGGTGTGCGGCCTGCTGCTAGTGGACGCCCTGCTCGTCACCCTCTGGGTCGTCACGGATCCCATGGAGCGCCATTTGCATAATCTGACACTCGAAATCAGCGCCATTGATCGGAGTGTTGTGTACCAGCCCCAGGTAGGTGTCCCCCTGCCCCTGCCGCTCCTTTGCTTGCCAATTGACTCCTCTGGCGCCCGCCCCCCACTCGCCCTCTCCCTCACTCTGATGTCTCCTTTTAGGTGGAGGTTTGCCGCTCGCAGCACACCCAAACGTGGCTGAGTGTCCTGTACGCCTACAAGGGCCTGCTGCTGGTGGTGGGCGTCTACATGGCCTGGGAGACGCGTCACGTGAAAATACCCGCCCTCAACGATTCCCAGTACATTGGCGTCTCCGTCTACAGTGTGGTCATCACGAGTGCCATTGTCGTTGTGCTGGCGAATCTCATCTCGGAGCGTGTGACGCTGGCCTTCATCACCATCACGGCCCTCATTTTGACCTCGACAACGGCGACGCTCTGCCTGCTGTTCATACCGAAGCTGCACGACATTTGGGCGCGAAGTGAGTGGCCAGTCCCCCCACTAATCCCTAGATTATTCCACTCCCTCTGCATCTCTCTCCCCCCCCACCGCAGATGACATCATTGATCCTGTGATCCACAGCATGGGCCTCAAAATGGAGTGCAATACGCGACGGTTTGTGATCGACGATCGCCGGGAGCTGCAGTATCGCGTGGAGGTCCAGAACAGGGTCTACAAGCGCGAGATCCAGGCGCTGGACGCGGAGATACGCAAGTTGGAGCGCCTGCTGGAGTCCGGCCTGGGCACCGCCTCGACGACCACATCCTCGTCCACGTCCCTGCTGCCGGGACACGGCCATCTGAAGCCCGAGCTGACCGTCACCAGCGGACTGTCACAGACGACGCCCCAAGCGGCCCCAAGCAAGTCGCGCACACCGAGCATCTCCGGTATGCTGCCCAACCTGCTGCTCTCCGTGCTGCCGCCGGTGATACCGCGCGCCAGCTGGCCCTCGGCCGAGTACATGCAGATCCCGATGCGTCGATCGGTGACGTTTGCCTCGCAGCCGCAGCTGGAGGAGGCCTGCCTGCCCGCCCAGGATCTGATCAATCTGCGACTGGCCCACCAGCAGGCCACCGAGGCGAAGACGGGGCTCATCGATCGCCTGCGTGGCATCTTCTCGCGCACCGCCTCCAGCAACAAGGGCTCCACGGCCAGCCTGGCGGACCAGAAGGGCCTCAGGGCCGCCTTCAAGTCGCACATGGGTCTGTTCACCCGCCTGATTCCCTCCTCGCAGACAGCCTCCTGCAATGCCATCTACAATGCCCCGATTCAGAATCCGAGCGCAGAGGCGGGTGCAGGTGGCGGTGGCGGCCTGCCCGTCGAGTCCAACTCGAATGGGCGGACGACGCACCTGAAGGCCATTCATCGCGGCTCGCTCACGAAGAGCGGCACCCACCTGGACCATCTGGCCAAGGATGCCAGCAGCACGCCCAGCTTCCTGCTGCCCGCCATCTCCACCATCTCCGGGGAGCATCTGGGCGGGGCACCGGTACCACCACCAACCGATGGCAAGTACGTGAAGCTGCTGGAGACCAAAGTGAACTTTCAGCTGCCCAGCAGCCGCCGGCCGTCGGTGGTGCAGCCGACGCCGAGTCTGAGGGAGCGTGTGCGCGGCTCGCCGCGCTTTCCCCACCGCATCCTGCCGCCGGCTGCCTGCAGCCTGAGTGCCCTGGCCGAGTCGGAGTCGGACACCGCCAGAGCTCTGAATGCAGACAGCATTTTGGGCAGCTGCAAGTCCATTCCGCGCATCTCGCTGCAGCAGGCGACCTGCGGGGGCACCTGGAAGTCCATGGAGACGGCCGCCAAGTCGCGTCTCTCGCTGGGCGACTCCCAAGAGGAGGAAACACCAGCGGCAGGGGCAGCAGCCGAGGCAGCGACAGCGACAGTGGCGGAGCAAGTGCAGGTCGAGGCGTTGCCATTGAATGGCTTAGATTAGACACACCCCGCACCCGCACCCGCACCCGCACCCTACCGCTCAGTCCTCGTCAATTAGAAGCAAACACCAAGCAATTATTTTCACGCGCCCCTCCCTCCCCAAATACCCCCAGAGACAGCTCCCCACCCCCAGAGCAGAGCAGAGCAGAGCAGAGCAGAGCAGAGCGCGTGTGCAACTGACCAATCATCAGCTTAAAGCAATCAAACGCATTAGGGATAACATAGAGCCTAGATAAGTGACGACACCCGAGTGTACTACTCCCTCTCCACAGCCAGTCATCTTCCACGCCCCCACCCCCCACCCACTCGACAATGTGATTAACCCTTGAGCCCCTAGAGTCCCCCAGTCCTGTCCTCTTTGACTGTGCTCTCCCCCCGCTCTCTCGCGTAGGTTAAGTAGTTCAGCTTTTCCTTTAGCTGGCAGCCAACCCATGACCCATGACCCCATCTTTAGGTACGCCATCTCTAGTCGTAAGCAGAACAGTTGCATAAATCTTAAGGAATTGTTTTTGGGTTTTGTTTATTTTTTCTTTTGGTTTTCATTTGTGTGTGCTGCATCCACGGTGGTGCATCCAGTGTATCCAGAGAGCAATACTATATCTATATCGCATGTACTTAAAATACAGCCTAAAGTTAGAGAGCAGAGCATCAGCGCATGAGAATCAGAATCAGAATCAGACCTAGACTTAGACTTAGAGTTAGAGTTAGAGTAGGGTTAAAGGCAAGCCAACATAATTAATTATCGCCAAAGTCGTAGATAAATCCATGAATCATGTGTGTGTGTAGTGCATAGGTAGGGGAAGTAGTCGCCACTTAAGCAAACCCCCCACCACCCCCCCCTCCAGACACGAACCACGCCACGCACAGTGGGCGATTTGGCTTTTCTAGTGCATAGAAATTGATAATGGAACTTTTTCAGAATTTTCTAGGCATCAAAATATACAAAAATAAAGTTCTTAAGTTTTTTTATTTTTTTTTTTTATCACTATATATGCATTTTTTTAAGTTTTTATTTTTTAGCTACATATTTTTTTTGTTTTTAAGTTTTAATTTTTAACTATTTTTTTTTAATATGTAAATATTGTATGTTTTGGGAAAATAATCTTATTTTATTTATTTATTTATTTACAGAATTTTAGCCTAGGGTTAATTAATGTTTATGGCCAGAGCAGCAGGGCCTTCAGGCTCGGCAAAAAAATTAGTTCAACTCTCAATACTGCAGTCTTAATCTGACTTTTTTAATTCCTAAAATTATTTATGAGACGAAATTTTACCCGTCATTTAAGTTAAAAACCTAAAAAATTTAATTTTAAAAAAATTAAAAAAAAAAAAGTACCAAAAAATATTAAAATATATATTGTCTTTGTTGATGCTGGTAATGGAATGAACTTATATTTATATATTTATATTATATTTATATTTATATTTTGGCAGTCTCATTCGAAGCAGACGAGCAACAAAGCAAACGATAAATATTGTGAGCGGACGAGCAGCCAGAAGCAGCAAAGCTGGGATGTCTTTATTTTAATTTTTAATTTTTAATGATCAAAAATTCGAAATTCAAATCACCCACTGTGCATATCTCTGTCGGAGCCAGAAGGCGCTCTCCAGTCCGGCTGGGGAGTCGCGCTCCGTTCCACCGTAGCGACTAAGCCAATAAGTTTTTAGCATTGTAATCCCATTCCACTCAACAGCTACACTGCTACCAATCTCTCCAGTCTCCAGTCTCCAATCTCCACACTCTCCACATCTCTCCACACCATTCCGCAGGATAAGTTCAATAAACAATGGAGCCTAAGCAGAAATGCCAGGCCAGAGAATAATGATTAATTAATTAAAGTTGTTTTATTGAGTGCCGCCCACTGGGGGGATGGCAGGGGACATGAGCCATATCCACAGTTACAGATACAAATGCAGACTCAGAACTCCGGACTCAGAACTCAGAACTCAGGACTGAGACCAAGAGAAATGACTTTGTAGGGAGCCGTGAAATGAGTTCGCCAGGCGAAGGACACACGGCGGAATTGTGCACACAAAAGGAGCCAAGCCGATCCGAGCCGAGCCCACAACTAATAGAGTTCGGTGATTAAGTTGACGTTGCAATTTGTTGCTATAAATAAATAAATAAATCGGATGACCGAAAAACGGTCACGGCGGGTGGCCCGCGCGTCTGACCTGACCTCCAGCGCTGCTTCCACGTGTGTAATCCCGCCCTGCTTGGCCTCCTGGCAGCCCCCTGCTGTGTGGCGTGGCAGCGGCGTGTGAATTTATCTTTATGCTCGTAAAACAAAAAGCACATGAAACGGAATCGGAATCGGGCAAATAAACAGCGACGACAACGAGGAATTGGGAAGGGGAATGGGGAAAGGGAATGGGGAAAGGGAATGGGAAATGGGAATGGGGATATGGCGATGGGGGATTGGGCCATGGATGGAAGATGAAGATGAGCACAGAGCACACACAAAGCAGAGTTCGGGAGGGGGGGGTGGGGGCAACCAACGATGATGGCGACATTCACACAGCCATGGGGGATGGGTGGATGGGTTGGGCGGGGGTGTAGGAACTGAATGCGACAACATTTTTCATGGCTTCATTCACTGAGACTCCAGCGCTGGAGCTCGGGAGCTCGGGAGCTCTGCAGCTCTCCACCTCTTTGCCCCTTTGCTCCTCGTGCACAGCTGACGCATCAAGATTTATCCCGGTCGCACTTTGTTGCCAGTTGCCTTCGCCAGATTGCGACGAGTGTCGCACGGGCACGGCAGGTCGATGGGGTGGGTGGGTGGCTACCGCTCTGCCGCTCTTCCGCTCAATAAAATGGAGCTGTCCTGTCTTTACATTTGCTTTATTACAGTTGGAGTACCTTGCCACAGGGGCTGTCACATCGTGGGGGGGGGGCGGGCAAGAAATGTTTATTTATTGCACACATATTTGCCACAGCCCGCAGTCCACATAGTCCCACGCCCTGCCTGCCTGAGCAGCTGACGACAACATTTTGTGGCGTCGCAAAAGTTGCGCAAATATTAATTTTAATCAAGCTAATTAATATGGTCCAGCCTGCTAAAGAGGCAGATCCTGCCCCAAGAAAACAAAACCAAAAAAGAACAAGAGCAGAACCCCAAAAAAAAAAGAGGAGCCCACAAAATGAATAAAAATGGGGACATGTTCGTGTTCGTTCAGGCATTGACAAATGGGGCGGACGGGTCAACAGGTTGGGTCGCATTTGCTCCAGCAGCAGCAGGGTACCGTGCCGTTCCGTACCGGGTACCCCGAAGTATAATTCAGCGGAGGCTTCATTAAAGCACCGACGAGGCCCCGGGCAAAGCTGCCTTAATTAGCGCCCGCTCCAAAGGCAATTTACGCGTATGCCAAAGTGCATTAAGTGAGCATCTCCTGATGTACTCCAGCGCGGTCTCTGGTCTCTGGTCTGGTCTCTGTTCTCTGGAGCCTCGTGCCAATTCCCTCTAATTATGCAGGATTATCATGAGCATCCTCTTACGCCAAGGATGAGTGTGTGTATGTGTGTGTGTGTGTGTGTGTGTGTGTGTTTGTGGCGGGAAACAATGCTCCAGGGTATTTGGCAGTCCCATTCCCACAAGCAGGCGGCGGCGGCGGCGGCACTCCACTCTCATCTGCACAAAGACCTGCACTTTACTTACCTTTTGGCATAAAGCGCTCCAGTTTATTCCCATATACTCTCCCGTATATACATATACATATACATATATATCTCCTGCCCCTTTCCTGTTGCTCTCCCTCCCCAGAAGGTGGCTCATAAAACGGCACTAAGTTATTTTCAATCAATAAAAACAACATAAACAAAAAGCAAGCTGTAAAAAATACACTCAACATACCCCCCCCGCTCCACATGCCACACGTGAGTGTGTGTGTGTGTCTTTGCTGCTGCTGCTGTGCCCCCCCCCCCCCCCCCCCCCACGCTCCTTGGAGCACAGAAGGGAAACCACTGTGCTCCCAATTTGCCAATAAATTTGCTTGCCATGCACTGCCTGTAATTCAAAAGAAGCGAGTGAACCGAAAACCGAAAGCAACACACAACAAGAAAAATATTACGCAAAGAGTCAAAGAACGAAGCGGCAGATACACTAGCAGCAGAGGCTTGTGGCAGCTACGAATATAATTAAATATAGCTAAAGATTATACACTATTCCACACAGATCACGGATCATAGCAGGCACAAAAGTACTCCATGCTACGAAGAGAAAGAGTGAGAAATAAAGGTGGCAAGTTCCCTCCATGAGGATCCCACAAAACCCTCTGGAAGTGTACAAAAAGTGAGCAACAGAGCAAAAGGCAGGCGGCCCACAGGAGGTGGTGGAAATACGGCCAAAAGGAAAAGCTGAAATGTGAAAATGTTGGCCAAAAAAGTTTCTTTTTTTCCCCGTTTGGGTGTGGAGTGGAGCATTTCTTTCAACTTTTCGTTGCTGCTGCTTTTTTTTTGGTTTTGGTTTTGTTTGTTGCTCCGTGGTACGTGGCTGCTGTCAGCGCGGCAAATGACAAAATATGTTCGTGCATTTATTTGCTGTATCTACCTGTGGCCACACCTGCCCCTCTCCTGCTGGCGCTGCTGCCTAATCAGGCGGAAAAACATTCACGTTAAACATTTTCCACACTGGATGACAATTCGCACTTTTAATTGAGATTGGAAAAGCGTCAGCGCAAAAGGTGCGAAGCGGCCTCTAATTGGTTACCTTCAGTGGGTGGGAAGGGGGAGGCAGGAAACACGCCTGAGCAAGCGGTTGGGTGGTGGGGGGTATGGAAAATGGCAAATGGCAAATGGGAAACGAGTGGCGGAAAACGGATTTCTAGACGAGTGAGCGACTGATTGAAAATTTTCACATGGCCCAAGGAGCTGGGAGATGGGAGCTGGGAGATGGGAGATGGGAGCTGGGAGCTGGAAGACGGAGCCTCAATTGATGTAAATTCTGTCAGAGATAAAATCAGAGCAGGTTGCTTCGGGTGGGGTGGGGTAGAGGTAGAGCCGGTAGTGCCGGTTGAGCTGTTGCCATTCAAGTCATGATTGCAATTTATTATAACTGAGCTGTAAACAAATACGCGTGGCACCACACACGCACGATGGGGAGCAGGAGGGGGAGCTGGAGCTGCAG